TTCTCTCTCAGGTCACTCGAGAGATGGATTAAGGGCTCGTTCACAACCTCCAAAAGAGAGTGGGTTAGGAGGCGGAAAGGAAGCAGAAGCTGTGGCAACTCCTTCACTGAGTACACCCAAGGAAGCTGCACCTTTGACGGCTAATGTGGAAAAGGTAAGACACCCAAAAGTTTCAGTTACAAGCTCTTCAGCGGGAACAGAAAGGCAAGGGAGCCTGACATTATACATTCCAGTAACTTCTGACTTTGGCGAGAAGGAAGATTTTCCTCCCTTGGCACAAGCCCAATTGCAGAAAGCGCCAGAACCAATCATTCTTCCAGACAATGAACCTCAGCAGACACAGCCGCAACAGGTAAATCTGAGGTATGTAGATGATTATGAAATTTCCAATTGGGTCATGTCTAAGTTTCTTGGTTTTGGGGAGTTTTGGGGGGTCTCTTTCAAAAGGGCTTGAAGAAGAAACAAAAGCCTTACTGGTGGCCATTGAAAACAGATTTTTGGTGGAAAAGGGAAAGAAAAATAGGAGACAATCGAAAGAGTTACTGAGGCTTGCTTGGGGTTTAAATGACAGCACTGGAAGTGTGAGACAAAGCAATAAATCTCCAAGAAACTAGCATATGGAAAAACTAAAATTAATTTCGTGGAATGTCCGAGGCCTCGGTTCAGGCAGAAGAAGATTAGTAATTGGGTTTTTTTTAAAGGAATGGAAACCTGATTTCTTTTACTTCAGGAAACTAAACTACAAAAATTATCCTTCAAAGTGGTGAGAAGTATTTGGGGTTTTGAAACTTGTGATTGGATTGAAATCCCAGCAGTGTTCGGTTGCATTAGTCTGGAACAATAGTTCTTTCAAGTTGTTAGATAAGCAAGTGGGGGCTTTTTCTATTTCTGCAAAATTTCTGCAGGAGGCAAACAATATGCAGTTTACAGTGACAGGGGTGTATGGGCCAGTAGACTCTAGTTTGAAGGAAGAATTCTGGGAAGAATTAGACTGTGTCAGAGAGATTTGGGAACGACCTTGGGTGTTAGGGGGAGATTTCAACGCCACTGTTTGTCCAGCAGACAAAAAAAGGTTGTCACAGAAATAGCAGGAGCATGAAACTTTTTGTGGATTTCATTCAGAGATGGGGTCTGATAAATTTACCGCTTTCTGAAGCAAAGTATACTTGGACTAATAACCAGGAAGAACCTTCTCTAGTCAGATTGGGCAGGTTTCTGATTTCTTCTGAATGGGAAGAAGCTTTCCCCAATTCTAGTCAGGAAGCCTTACCAAGAGCAGTTTCTGGTCATGTTCCTCTCCTATTAGATACAGGGGGGCTAACAAAGAATCATCAACCTTTCAGACTGGAAAATTGTTGGCTGGAATCAGCAGAGCTGGCAACAAATGTTCAGCAGTGGTGGGCTGAAGCTTCTTTCACAGGCTCAGCAAGCCATATATTTTTTATAAAACTGCAATGGCTGAAAAGAAAAATTAAATCCTGGAAGCAGGAAAGGGCAAGATTGGATGAGGAAAAAAACAAAAGAATGTTTGAAAGTAATAGCTGATATTGATGCAAAGGAAGAACGAAAGTTATCGGGTGAGGAGGAAAGAAGAAAAAGGAATGCAACAAAGAAAGTTTTTGACTCACTAACTAACGTACCAAAATGAAGTCAAATGGAGACAAAGATCAAGAGCTATGTGGCTGAAAGCTGGTGATAAAAAAACAGCTTTCTTTCACAAGGTAGCAACTGCAAGAAGAAGAGTTAACTCAGTAAAGAAGCTGGAAGTTGGTGGGCAAACTGTGGAACAAGAAAAATACATAGCAGACTCATTTGTCAGTTTCTTCAAAGATCTTTTCAGTGAACCTTGCAAACGAAGACCAAAACTGGATGGCTTGGTGTTCAGCTTTCTCACAGAGCAGCAAGCCTTGGACTTAGAGAAATCCTTCTCAGAGAAGAAAGAAGGCTTTAGAAGAGATGGAAGGGGAAAAGGCTCCGGGTCCGGATGTTTTTACAATGCTATTCTTTAAGAAATTTTGGGAGCTAATTAAAGCTGACTTGACGAAGGTGCTGGAGGAGTTTCATGCGTCCGTTGCTCTGGAAAGAAGTTTGAATGCAACTTTTATAGCCTTAATTCCTAAGAAGAGTGGAGCAGCTGAACTGAAGGATTTTAGGCCAATCAGTTTGATCAGCAGTGTTCACAAAATTTTGGCCAAATTTCTGGCTACCAGACTAAGACAGGTGATGGATACACTAATCTCTAAGTATCAAGGTGCCTTTGTTAATAACAAGCATATTCATGATGTTGTTCTCATAGCCAATGAGTTGATTTATTCAAGAAGAAGAAGTGGGAGGAGTGGACTGGTCTGTAAAATAGACATAGAGAAAGGCTTATGACCATGTCAACTGGGCTTTTTTGGATTATTTGTTGGAGCGAATGCACTAATGGAGAAGTTGGATGAAAGTCTGCAATAACTACTCCAAGATTCTCTTTCCTAATTAATGGTTCAGCAAGAAGTAACTTCAACAGTTTGAGAGGTTTGAGGCAAGGGGATCCCTTGTCACCGCTGCCATTTCTATTAGTAATGGAAGGTCTTGGTAGAATGGTCGATAGGGCTGCAGAGTTAGAGATGTTGGAAGGTTTAGAAGTGAGAACTAATGGCACAAAAATTCCCATTCTGCAATATGCAGATGACACTCTTTTTCTGCAGTGCTTTAGAGGACCAAATCATTAATAACCTGAAACATCTTCTATTCTGGTTCGAGATAGTATCAGGCCTAAAGCTAACAAAAAGTGAAATGATAGCTGTTGGAGAGGTTTCCAATACTCAGAGATTGGCAGATTTGTTGGGTTGCAAAGTTGGCTCTCTCCCCACAAAATATTTGGGGTTGCCTCTCGGTGCCAAATGTTCATCCTAAGCCATCTGGAATACAATTTTAGAAAGGATGGATCAAAAACTGGCCACTTGGAAAGCAAGATATCTCTCTAAAGGTGGGAAGGTAACATTAATAAAGAGTGTGTTAGCAAGCCTTCTGACCTACTGCATGGCCCTCTTTCTGATCCCATCAGAGGTGGCAAAGAAATTGGAAAAGATGAGGCACTTTTTGTTGATGGGTTGGAAAGATTCTCACAAATATCACCTTGTGAATTGGAACCAGGTTTGTAAACACCATTCCCAAGGTGGTTTGGGGATAAGACATATAAAGACCTTCAATTTAGCATCACTGGGTAGCTGGATTTGGAGGTTTTCTACTGAGCCAGATAACCTATGGAGAAAGGTAAGAGCAGAAAAATATGGACTGGATAGGAATGGGTGGAAATACTGGCTCACCACCTTCGACATATGGCTGTGGTTTATGGAAAGGAATATGCAAAGCAAGTTTGCTTATCAGAAGATGTATCAAATATAAAATTGGAGATGGTAGAAGGATTAGATTCTGGTTAGACCCCTGGATTGGTGAAGGCACACTTAAAGAGCTGTTTCCTGATCTGTTCAATATGGCTACTGATAAGGAGGCACTGATAGCTGACTCTTATGTGAGGGAGGAAAACAACATTTGCTGGACTCCATCCTTTAGAAGGGATTTCAATGACTGGGAGATCCAGATGGCTGAAAATCTGCTCACTACTCTCCAAAACCAGGCTTTAAACCTTCAAACTCAAGACTCAAGAGTATGGAAGTGGAATAAGGCAGGAGAGTTCTCAGTCAAATCTTTTTACAACTTTCTGGTGGGAGAAGGTGAAGTTTTTTGCTCAAAGAAAGATTTCATTTGCAATGACTTGAGATGCTGTCTTTGTAATGTGGAACAGGGATCAGACAGACACTTGTTTCTGCATTGCAAGTTTGCTTAAGAAATTTGGAGCTATTTTCTGAAGGCCCTGAATTTAAGTTGGTGCATGCCTGCATCAGTGAAAGCCTTGCTGGAGGAATGGCACATATCCGGGTTGACTAAGAAAGGGAGAGTCTGCTGGTCTTCCGTCCCTTTGGCAATTCTGTGGGCGCTGGAAAGAAATAACAGAACTTTTGAACACAAAGCTTCTTCTGAAGCTGAGGTCATCAATATGGCTATAGGGTTTATTAGGAATTGGTTGTCTATACATACTGTGTTTAAAGATGACATGTCAAATAGCATTTTGTTGAGGATGGTCTGTTTTTTGAGGTCCAACTTGTCAGCTATTTGTACAGATTCCCATTGTACAAAGGACCTTTTACTTTAATACAATCATACTTTACCTTTTCTCAAAAAAAAAAAATAATAAACATATCAACAAGGAGTATAAGAGAAAAGTTACATGAATGGATTGAGGCATCCAGTCAGTTTTTCAAAACAAAAGACCGCTTTGGTTAACAAGGCCTAAACTGATGTTCTTATCAGCTTTGATTGTTGATGAGAAGTCACAAATTGGTATTGACTAAACATTTTACAGGACACTTGGGCATGGTCCCCTCATCTTTCAATCAGAGGCTGGCTTACTAACACCCAAAGTGAACATCTGTTTAGATGGAATCTTTGATCTCTTAATTCCTCTACAGATGATCTTTAAATCAGAGGCCGGCTTACTAACATCCAATCAGAAATACTTGGGGGGGGGGTTCTATCAAGGGTTCTTTTGGGCATTTGGATTTGTTTTATGGAGTGATGACATTTTTTGTTACAATTCTTTAGCTGGCTTCCTGTAACAGTTTTCTGGGTTTGTTCCTAATCCAGAGAATTTGGTGATTGTACACTTATCTTTCACTTTTCAATTTAACTTTTTGCTCATCATAGATGGAAAGTAAGATTCAAATGATTTTGGGTAATTCAAAAACATTATTTAAGTTTCTACTCAAAAGTATGCCAAAAAAATATTGTTATGTGCATGCAAAAAACATGTTGACTTCAAAATACTCTTTCTGAAGTAACTTTTAAAAGGTTTTGTTAATAATAGTTCAGTCATGGGAATCAGGAGGTATCACGACAACTTTGAAATACAATTAGAAATAAAAATAAGAAATATTTCATCCCTAAGGTAACCATACCCTTTTTTTGTATTCAATCCTGTTCCTACAGCAGTACCACCTTGTGCAAGCTGCCCAGAGGACAACAATATAATATAAGAACTCAAAACCAAGAAAACAATAGAGAATAAAAAATTGGAGTTTGCCTACCTGATACATACGGGGTAGGGTGCACATGACTCTTTCAATTCCATATTTTACCTGCAACACTTATTAAAAGTCCATTAATAACTCCTAGTATTGTTAACAGGCTTGTGAAGTGGATTTAATATGGATTAAATATCCATCAGAAGGATAAACAAAAGGGTACAAACACTGGGGATTGAGGAAAAGGAAAAAGAGGAAAGAGAAAAGGAAAAGGCCTTACTTGAGTAGCATACCCACTGAATTCCTGTCCAAGAGTTAAAGGTGTTGCATCTTGTGTGTGTGTGCGTCCTATCTTGATGATATCTTTGAATTCGAGAGACTGGTAAATAGTACATAAAAAAAGTAATGTGAATGATGGAAGGTTGTGCATTAAGCCCCTCATAGAAAATTGACAGTGACACTAGATACTGTTACACTTGTATCACAAATAAAATGAACCTTGAAATGTATTGTTTGACTGGGTGGCCTCATCATTATTTTGTTTTTAGCATAATCCATGTCAAGTGATTTGTGATTTTAGTACAAGAAATAGTAAATAAGTAATTATGTAGTTGACCAAGAATTACTACATATCCTTCCAAGGCCTTTACTCTCAACAACCCCCCCCCCCCCAATTATATAAACCTCAAGCTGAAAGATAGGTGGAATCAAACAGAAGCAGACATTCTTAGAAATAGTTATTGTCAGAAGTCAGAACATTAGAATTTAGAACTAAATGCTCTAAGTCAGCAATAACCTGACTAATAAGTTAAATCACCTGTTCAAATATTACAAACTTTGTACAGGATTGGACATCAATATTAAAAACTCAGTAGTATGAAATAAAATAATGCATTTTTGTGTCAGTTGGATAATGGATATATCTTATTATCTTTACAAGGATGTATGTGTAAAGCTTCCTACAATTGCATTGCTCACCGAGTAACACATAGACATGTAGATGTAGTGGTGTTCAAATATATAGGGTCCGTTTGGTTCGCAGTTGGAATCGGAATCAGAATCGAAATCCTTCGGAACTAGAATCGGAATAGGGTGGTCATTTCCCATAGTCTGTTTCATTCAGGCAGGAATAGGAATGAAAATTGGAATCAGCAGGAATGAGATTTAGTTCCCAAGGGAGGGGGAGGGAATGGCCATTCCCTTAAACGGGGAAATGCCATTCCACCAGGAATGGGAACGGGATTCCAGTTCCACCCAACCAAACAGTTGGAATCATGATGCATAACCCACAGTTATGATATCTGATAGGTAACCAGTTTTTGCAAAAGGAAACATTAGCAAGACAACTACAAGAAATACAGTATAGAGATAAGATGTTGTTATTTTCCAACCAGAAAGATATAAACTAAATCTTATTCAACCTTTGAATTTAGTGAAGTGTGTAATTGTTTCAAGCTCGGTATAAATCTTGAATTTATTTCAACTGCTGCAGCAATATGCATCACCTGGAAGGGGAAAAGGCAAATTTGTTATTAGTAGTACTCAGTAACTTGTAACAGTAAACCATAGTTTTTCGCAATCCAAGCCCAACTAGATAAATAACAATTTGTCTTTAAGACACAAGATAACTAAGCTAATATTATTAGAAAGACATGCAAATCTACAAGATATGCAAACTCTATAAAGTGATTAGATGGCTTACGGTTGGAAATGTGTCATTTGAAGATTGAGATCTATTAACATGATCATTTGGATGCACAAGCTTTTCTCCACGTTTGTGGCCAAGAATCTCAGCCGCCCTATTTGCAATTACCTGAAGAATGCAAAGAAAAAAAAAATCAACAAATACAATATAATCCGAAAAACGACTGTGTTACAATTAGAATCTGAAATATCAAGGAAATCAAATCTCAAATGTCCTTTAACTGGTAGTCTGGAACTGCATGAGAAGAATTCACAAGAAATTAATCTATTGAACAAATTGCACAAGAGGAATTATCACTGAATACAGTATAACTAGAATACTTAGCACTGAATCTATCAGAAAAAAAAAAAAAAAGAATTATCACTGGACATAGTATAACTAGAATACTTATGGATATTTCTTTTTGATAGATAAGAATGTAGCCACATTTAAATATCATGTAGATACATTTTTATATGTCAACTCATTTAGACTGACAATCTATCCCCTTCTAGATGGTATTGATCAAACATAAGCATCTAGAAAATGGATTAATCTTTTTTAGTACATTTAGAACATGATTTCTCTCTTTTGGGGGAAAGATAACTTCCATGGCCTCATTTCAAGTGACCTGATTCTTGTAACAGATCACGCTTATCTTGATTTAGTCGAACCTTGGAATATAGGATTAGTACAAACTTACAAAAACCCAAGTTACCATTACATCTTTCAAAAGAGAAGAGTAAATGAGCAAAAACCCATTAAAAGCCAGAACAGGTAGAAGTGTACCTTATACTAAAGGAAAACCCGTAATGCATTTTAACGGTCTTCTTTCAAGAGTAACATGACCACTACATTCCTATCAGCCACATTTCTTTAACTGTATCTCATATTTAACTCTACAATTTAATCAAACCCTAGAACCTAGGATTTACTATAAACCACCAAATTCCAACCATCATACCACACTGGTCAAAGGAGAAGTGAAATGCCTTTTACAACCCAATAAAGCACCTGTAGTATACTAAAAATTAATAGAGAAATCTAGCTAAACACTTCATAATATTTAAAGATGAAAAACAAATTCCAACCTCATTAGCATTCATGTTGCTTTGAGTCCCACTTCCTGTCTGCCATATGACAAGTGGAAAATGATCATTGAGCTTTCCCTCGGAAACTTCTTGAGCAGCCTGCATTATTGCCTTCCCAATAGATGGATCAAGACCATATTCCATGTTCACCTGCACAAGGGAACACCATCTATTAGACCATTACATGTCTCAAAGACCTAGGGACAGACTAAAAAGGGCATTGGTTGAAGTAATGAGAAATATTTTGAGAACCCGTAGATGGATATGAAACTGGACAAAATTGAATGGCAAAACAGGATTCATGTAGCCAACCACACATAGTTGGGACAAGGCTTAGTTGAGTTGAGTATCTATGAAAAGAATGAGATCAGCAAAATAATATTTTTTTATTAGTAGATCGGTAAGACAAAATAGTGGGCATTACTTGGTATAATAATAAAATTTCAAGCTGCCAAGCGTGAGAACACAGGTTTGAGTCTGAAAGTGGCATTTTGTGCACAAAAAAAAAAAACAAAAAACAAATGCTAAAGTTAGGACCATACCCAGTCTACCCCTCCCAAGACCCCAGTTAGATAGGACCAACAGTGGGTAAGGGCCTCTAAGATTATTAAGACAATATCATGGCTAAGATCAAAACAGGACTAAGCTAACACAAACAAGGCCCAAAGTCCTGACATAATATCTCAATCAACTAGTCAAATAATGCCGGGATGTTTTTACTTGAGCCTAAGCACCAGATAATGTGGGGGTTGTGGAAGACTGAAAGTAACAAAACATATAATCTTTGAGAATAAAACTTCACCATTCACAATACTGCATGATAAGGTTCTGTTATGGACTTATGGCAGTGCAATAGTCTTCAAAGCAAAGGAATTTCATGTGAAGAGACATGCAGAAATTTATTTGTGATCCACCAGAAAAATAAATAAATAGGGGGGTGGTACAGAAGCAACATTTCACATAGAAGATCCAGTTCAGATTTGATGGAAATTCTCTTGGCAAGATAGAGCCTTCCAAGATAGGTAGTATTGGTTCTGATAAGGAGGGACAGGTTTTCGGCAATATAGCGACCCACTTGGTGAAATGGACTCCTCTGAGGCTAAAGGGTACCACATCAAAAGAGCATTTTCTATCTTAGTAGAAGATCCGGTGAATGGTTGAATGCCATAGGATGAGGGGAGGGATTTAGAAGAAGACTAGAGAAACTTTCCAATAAGCTGAATCAGATTGGGTTGTGGATTCCTGCAAATTGCAATAACAATATCCAGATTGACAACTAGGGATCTAATATCCATTATAGACGAGTTAGGAAGGTCAGAACCTCGGAGGTAAGCAAGAAAAGAATGTCCAAACCTTGGCTGCGCATTTCTTAAGAATGCCAAAGGCACGAATGATAGGTTCTGGCATTTGTTCACGTTCACCACCGATATCAAAGTTCTGCAATGACCTCTGAGTCTGAGCCCCCCACAACCTAGAAGTACAGAATTACAACCAAACTGGGATTTAATGTTATAGAAAGGCATACCAGAATCAATACAAATTGTCGGAGATGTGTTACTAATGTTTTTAAACAACTCAACTAAATAGCAGAAAACAGAAAGAAAGTACTACAAACTTGTCGGAGGGAACAAGGATAGGTCCAAAGGTGTCTCTCTCCTCCCTGAACGATGTTGAGAATGACCTCAACCAAGCGGCACGCAAATTCCATACCAATGGCGACGTCGTCGATGCACATGAGAGGCGACGGGAGGCAGTAAGCATCGCCATGTCCAGTCCTGCAAAGCTCAAATAAGTAACCGGTATCAAATGTATGATTAAGCGTAAGCTGAAGAGAAGCCGAACTGAAGATCCAAAGATGCTGGAAAAATGACTGCAAAAGTAAATTCAATCGAGATATGAATACCGCTGTGCAAAATCTGTAAGACCGGCAGGAACCGCTTGTCTTGCCGGCGGTGAGTAAACGCTCGCCGGAATAGAGAGGGGGGTACGGATGGCAAAGAAAGAACAGAGAAGTGATGTTAGGTCGCGGGGAAAGAACGTGCTTCGGAGTTCAGATTAAAATGTCTAGAGAAGTGCGAGTGATACAAAGACTCGTGCTTGATCAGAACGCAAGCATTGCGCAAAAGCCATTAGATTGGAATCTTTGATCTCGTGTTGAGGCATCTCTGTGCTGGGGTGGACGAACCGTTAAAATTCTTTCATTTCATACGAAACACAAACACACTAACAAAAGTGGAAGTGGAGTACCTAGATGCGTTTAATTGTCTACGATTCTACTCGTAAATTACCTATATGATGACGTGGCTTATCATTATTGGTCCAGCATCGTCCGGTTAGTGTGGAAGACTCGGTCAGACCTGGATGCGATGAATCGCAACGCCAGTCGCCAGGCAATTCATCATGCCATACGCCCATGCCCACCAGCGCAGCCGTTGAGCGTCGCCTGGTCGGAGTTGCGTTGGAATACTCTGCTGCGACCGACAGTTCAGACTTGGCAACTTCTAGTTCTAGCCTTCTAAGGAAAAAAAGGTTTGTCAATAGTCGTTCTTGGCGGGTATAATTCGTATGAACGGTGGGGTTACGACTTACGAGTCTATGGGTGGGTGATCAAGAAAAGTAGAAACGAACCGATGAGAGCGACCTAAAAATTCCCGTTAATTAAAGTATTAAACCGATATAATAATAATAATAATAATAATAATAATAAGAGGTGCAAATCAAAATAAGAAATCAAGAGATAAATCAATGTCACAACCTTAATTCAATAATGTGTAACAAGAAAAAGATTGAGAAGAATGTCACCATACAATTAGTGCAAGATGGGTAAAATGGAGGGGTGCATATAAAGTTGTATGTTATAAGCAAATACCATTTAGGTTAAAAGAAAAATTCTAAAAAATAATAAGGTCAGTCATGTTATATAAAACAAAGTGACAGGTAGTCAAAAAATAGCATGTCCAAATAATTAGTGTGGAAAAAAATGCATACATTGAAATGGATGAATGAAAAAAAAAAAAACTGAAAAATGATAGAATTAAAAAATAGTCATTCAAAGGAACCAGAGAGTAACTCTGAAAAACGAGAATTAACTATCACGATTTGGTCGCATGTGAAAAAAACATCTACAAAATTCATAAGAAAAATGGATTTGTTGCAAGTTGAAAGGGACTAGGACGGCTAGGGATAAACATAATTACATATTGCAACTCCCTTCTAATTAATAATGATTAATGAACATGGTTAAAGAAGATTCAGACTTCAAGTCAAAGTGATAAAAATTGCATGCCTCTTCCCATGGTTTTGAAAATCAGACTGGATGGTTGGACCGGTTGATATAGGAACCGGTTAAGCAATTGGTTCTGTTTCACTCTAAAACCCTTTTTGGGCCAAAAATTATTAACTTGCTCAGCAATTCACTGACCCGGGCAGTCTAACTGTCAACCCAAACAATGAATTTGGCCATTTTTTATTTTTTAAATCAGAATAGGCCATTCGTTCAAACTAGTGGCTAAAACAGTTCGGTGTCCGGTCCAGTTTTTAAAACCTTACCTCGTCCTCTTCAAGGCTGCAGTTATCGTTGCCTCCACTGCACCATTTTCATCAAGTAAATATTTGGAAGTAAAAATATCAGAACCTCCATAGTCCATCCACTTTGCAAGTTTATATGCAGCTCTGCAACTTCATGTCAACAAGTATATACATTCCATAGCTGAATTGTATTTAAGCTTGTCTCTTCTAATGATCTCATAGGCCAAGCAAGATGAGAATTTCATAGATACGCAATGCTTGGTTTATAGAAAACAAGACAAATAAAAAGTTGAGAGAAAATTCTCAATGCTGTATTTGGTTGCAGTGTAAAATTATTTGACCTAATGCAAAACTATGATAATTCAAATGATTTGGGTGTAAATTCTGTTTTTTTTTTTGTTTCAAATTTTACCTTATTTTGTTTGATTGCAGTACAATGAAAAATGAAATAAAATAAGATTTGAAGCAGAATAAAGTAAAACCCAAAACAAAATTAAACCAAAATTTGCATTCTTTTCATTTGTACTCCCATGCATTTGTACTAGTGCAAATAAAATTGCACTGCAATCAAACACAGTCCAAAGAAAATAATTCATACAACAGGGAATTATACTGAAAATCCCATAGTGTGCCTAAATACTTTGAGAAGAATTCTTAGTTGTTGACATGGTTCATAATATCAACACGCATGATACATAAAAATTGTCATAAATTGCATACAATATGATTTAGGCTATGTTTGGTTTTATGGGTGTTTATTGGAAAAACTCCACCATATTAACACCACTCAGGCGTTAGCATTTATTGTGCATGAAACCATTTTTGATTTCAGTGTTAATCAAATAAACAGTAAAAAACAGAAACATTACAAGCTAAGGTGGAAGATTGAAGATAACTTTATAGGGGTTTTACTGTATTACTTGAAACGTCCAACCAAACAACAAAAGCAATAAACGTTTAAAATAATATTTTTCAATTAAACGTTTATCTGAAAAACACACCATCCATAAACACCCACAGAGCCAAACACATAATTAAAGGGCAAATACTCTTCTTTTTTATTTTTTCACTCTTAATGTTAAAAGAAATTCTCTAAACCCCTATATGTAGCATTTATGTGGGTTCAAAATACTGATGTATTGTTCTAAATGCAGTAATGAAGGTTTAAAGAATGGACACAATATGCCATACTTTTGAAGAGTTTAGTGCTTTTAAATCATAATATATGATGTGGGAGTCACTATCTATTTGAGTATTTGTAAAACAAAAATTTTTTAAAGAAATAGTTTTGTTCAAATGAAACACTTGATAAGCAAAATTTGCTTAGAATATTGATACTTTTTAACTCTTGGATACATTGCAATATTTTGAACCTTTTTAGTTTGGGAAGACTACAAATGCAAACACAATGTCAAGGTCATAGATATTGTGAGATGTACACAAACATAATGTTATTGGATTATTGAGCTAAAAGTCTAATGTATTTTATAAAGAAAAAGTCGCCGAAATAAATTTAAAAGAAAAAAACCTTATTAAACTCATGTTCATTCGCCTTTACCTCGTTACATTCTATAGAGATCTGTTGTCGAAAATTATATAAATTAAACAAAATTTGCAGTAATTTTTGTCTGTCACACTTCTGATAGTGAGAAAAACAAAATTTTTCACTGAATAATACTTGAAATCTTTTGACCCACCAGATCGAAATTCAGGTTATATATAAAAGATAGTCTTGCACTCTTGCTTTGTACTCAATGCCATCTTAGGTGGCCACTTGACCCATCGGTTCAAGAGCTCCATTGATCATGCATCAGCTCCCAAGTGTGACCTCTCTCAACTTCACAAGTTATGACCTGAGACGACCAAGCCAATCAACCACCACAACCCTTTCTTGTTCTATATTTATTGGCCAATTTCATAATTTAACTTTCTTTCTCACCCAACTTAGATTCAGGGACTTTCAGAATGCCACCATCTATCAGAGCCTGCAACTCAAGTTTTGCCAAATCCCGTGTCTTCAGATTTGATGATTCCAGAAAAGCAGAAATAACTTTGCAACTGCAACCACCGCAAGACAATCCAAAATGAAAACTAAGTTCAAGCATTTATTTGACATAGGCTTAACACGTGCACATGCAGTTAGTAAGCAGTTTAATATCTAACCTGTGTCCATGGGCCCATACTTCACACTTCCCTTCCAGTGCAATCTTCCAGAGAGTGGAGGCAAAACTAGGACAGTTCAATACCAGTTTTCTAATGGTCCGGCTGGAATGAAAATTTTCAAGGATGTGTTCCTCTTCAGATTCCTCAGTTTTGGGGAGGGCTGCAAGAGATGCTACCGCTTCATGTAAAGCACCCAATTTGTCAGTTAACGTTGGCCAAAGAATACCACCAGCTCCACCAGTAGCCACCTGCATGCATCAATAGGAACTTGCATAATTATTTTATCTTCAATTTGATTACCAATGTGTTGCACATGATCAAAACCAGAGCTTAGTTCCAGACCTCTGCAGACAACATCATCAAAAAGTGGAGCTTTCATGGCAGCATCTTTCACCACAAGGGTTGTGAATCCTGTGGTTTGAGAAAATTCTCGTGAAGAGAAGAGACTACAAAACTGTATTGGTAATCCAGATCCCCGACTCCTGAGGGGTTTGGGGATTTTGACATCAAAATGGAGATGTCTTTCAGGTATAGCAAGCCTACAGGAGAGAAGAATTCCCAGGCAGAGAAATCCTAGCTCGACATCAAGGACTGACAATGCTAGTCTCCGATTCCAACAATAGTAGTAGAGGGTGACTGAAAATTGGTGATAGGGTGAACAACAGGAGGGAATATGGTGCCTCAAGACTTGTAGAAATTCTTTATGGAGAGCCAGACTTGTAGATAATAATCTGAATACCTCGTTTAGATGGGTAAGAACTACCAACTCTCTAGCAGACCAGCTTGCTAGACATGGGGACTGCAATTCCAATATAGGACAAGCAACAAAGGAATCTACTGTAATATAGGATAAGTCAGCAGGCTTACTGCATACTTCCGATGCAAAACCTATTGGGGCTGTTTTTGCTATTAATTAATAAAAGTGCCAGATCCATTAATGATAAAAAAACTACTATCTTTTTATGGTGAAGTATACACACACAGAACAGAGAGCATTGAACCAGGAAAAAGGAATAGAGTGATCATTGATAACAACAAGGGACAGATCATCATTTAGTAGAGAAGTTTAAAGGACACAGGAATCATATTTACAAATATATAGCAGATAATATTTGGTATTAGATACAAAATACCAGATTCACCAACAAAAAAAGAACAGAACCAAAATAAAATCATGCACCACGATCCAATTTGACAATGATAAAACTCAAAGTAAACCCAACCACCCAAATATAAACAAAAACAGAAGACAAAACAGATTTCTCCCATCCAAGATCCCAGGAGGAAAAGAACACATCTCTCTACTTCTTCCTTTGGAGTTTGGGCATTCATGTATTTCATTTCCTTCTTAGTTGGTCCAATCCCAAATAATCCACCTTTTAATCTAGCAAATATATTTGACACAAAAACAGGTTGATGCTTTTTTTGACTTTCAATATTCAACCATCCTGCTAAATATCATATAGATATATGTAGAGATTATGGGAAAATATAGATATTCAACCACCCTACATATAGATATATGTAGATATATGTAGAGATTAGCTCTTTGGCTTGTTCATTCAACTTTCATTAATTACAAGCATCTCCTCTGCAATCAAATCTGAAATAGCAGGAGGAGAGGCAGACCAGTTTTCACTGATTGAGTCAAAGCCATCCTTGCCAGTGTATGAGACACCCTATTACAGCTTCTGGTCCTCCGGGAACCAAGAAGAAACCAGGATAACTGTTTATAATGTGCCTGCAATCTCCTAAGATGGGAAAAGTCTTCCATGGCAGAGATGACCAATGGTCCAACAGGCCCTTCACAACTACCTCAGCATCAAATTGCACCACCACATTGTGTAATCCCAATTATCTGCTTGTAGAGAAAACCACCTTAAGAGCCATCGCCTCAGTCAATGATCTAGCCGGAATACAGATAGAGTTGCACCAGCAGAATTGACCTTCATGGCTCCAAGCAATCAAACCCATGTCCACATAATTACCTTCTAAAGCCTTATCCACATTATATTATTATATAGTACAATACAATACAATATATGCTATGATATGGTTTGAATTTCATTTAAGCAGGTTCCTATTAAGCTGGATCAGGTAGACCACATACACCCAATCATTATCAGGCCTCAAAATATGAACCAGGAGGCAACAATAGGAACTGGGAATCTGGGACCTGTCCAAGACCCCAATGTAATAGGATTGAATTGGATTGGGTCATCCCAGCACATTAAAAGGCCTAACTCTTCTACCCACACCCATTACCTGTATATTCTTTCTAATCTCCTATGGTTCTTATTCACTCCCATTTTTCCCAAGATCCCATTTAGATTTTCTGCTATTTGGGTACAAAGTGCAATTCTTCCACATTACACCACTAATTGAATCCATGACTATACAGGAATAGGCATTTTATGCAAGGCCTTCATGGCATGCTGGTAAAGAGTCATAAAGAAATTTTCTTTTCTTCCCTTTTTCCACTTTTGAAACTAGAACTGAATAGAACTGCTAGTTTCAGAATTCTTTGCAAACACAACTGAGAGAAAAATAAAGGTTAATTCGGCCAAAGCATGCAACAAATCTTAGGAAAATGACTTTTACAATTAGTTCAGAAAATTTTCCACAATACTAAACCAAGAGTTAAAAACAGTTAATATCAAGAAATCAAGGATTCAAGCAAGAGAAACACTCCCAACTTAAAGTTGCACCAATGATTACCTCATATATGACTTCTTTGCCAAAATTTGACCTAAGTAATTCTCCTACGCTCTCAATACATGTGTTGATAAGACTCTGCAAAACAACCATCAAAATCCAATTGGACTCTTGATATCAGCAAACTTTGTTCAGAAGCAATCATGAAAAAGAGTAGATGCTTATATCCTACCAACACTCTGATTAAAATACATTGCAATTACTTTTCATTTTTATTGTTTTTTCTTTCCTTTTTCTTTGGGGGTGGAGGTAAGGGGTGAGGGGTGAGGGGAGAATTAATGCATATACATGGAGATGCAGAGAAAAGTGAAGCAACAAACCTCAGCAAGCCCACTATCCACCAACAATTCACGTCTCCTTAAGGAGGAATCCTTTTTTCCTCCATCAACTATCTGGAGGTTTTTATTGGTGCTGATACTACTATTATTACCACCTACAGTAGTCTCCAAACTAGCCACAGCCCCACTGTCTTGGAACTCACAAACTTCTGAACAGTCTGTCTGCTCCAAATTCAAATTTACATCTGACCCTTCATCCTGAAATAAAAAGCAAATAATCTTAGACCAAATTTTCTTGCTACTGCTTTATTACCAAAATGGTTCTAGAAAAGTTAATGGTTTGAAATGACCTTGGTGCACAGAGAAGAAACAAATAGATTGAGGGAAGCCAGATCATCTGGATTAAAATAGCGGGTGCAATACGGATGAAGCAGCTGCAATAAAGGACGTCTTCCATTCTAGAGTTACAAAGAGGACAAAAGAAACCATTAGCAATAAATCACCTAACAATACCTCCCAATACACGCATGAACAAAAATAGAGAACAAAAGAAAAAGAAAAGAGTACAATACCCCTTACATGGACTGCAAAAGAGGTCCAACGACATCATAGGCACAAAAGTAACAGAAAGTCAGGACCGCAAATGTGGAAAAGAATCCAATTCATGATCTTGGCCAACTAAATCTATTTTTTTTCACTAGTAACTAAGTCTATTAATTTTCTTTGAGCCAATGGCATTCCCCCTTTTCCAATAGCCCAAAGAATTTGATAAATCTAAGTTCAGAACAACACCATTGGGTTGACATTACAGATTGAAATCGTCAAACTGTGGGTGAGTCACTCTACAGTCTACACTAAGACAAATGCATATAATGTTTGTCAGTGCCTGGTAAACAGGGCAAAGATCCAGATGCACAATTGAAGATCTAATATCTACTATAAGCATGGTTTTAAGAGTTACCTTATCAAAAACAAGTTCCTTTAGGGTTGCTTGTAGTTCGCGGATGACAATCTGTAATTGGAAAAGTTGAAATAACTGTTAATGATTGAAATTGAATAAAGCAGGAAAATTTTCATAACAAGCACATTCAGGAACAAACCTTTGTTAGAAGTTTTGTGTCATCAACTGTGGAAAGAATGAAGGCAAGCACCTAGGAGATTCAAAAAAAAGGGCTTAAGAAATAGATTCCACCTTGTAATTAAAATGCACTTATTATCTACAAGAACGTGCGTGTACTTATTATTTATGAGAAAATGCATATTAAGCTCAATTAATGCACAGGTAGTTGATCTCTACAAAGAAACTTTGGCTGGTAGAAAGCAAGTACCAAATGGCACTTTCCCAAGAATAATTGAAGCCATAATTACTTAATATAACAGCTTGGAAGGACATGTTTCCCCATTACTGCATACTCCAGCCTGTTAGGAGAATTGGATATTCTCTAGGTCTATAAGGAATAGATATTGAGGGTGATTCAGCAGAGGTATTGAATGGATTAAATCACAATCCAAAGACCCTAGGGAAAAGGGGGGGGGGAGTTGACAGGAAAGTAATGTAGACAATTGATTGTGGTAAAACCTGAATAGTCTTTTTTTTTCTTTTTGTGGTTCTTCTTCTCAGATTTGGAGGTGGAAGGGATCATGTATTTGCATATTTTTCATTAATAAAATGCTCTCGGTCTTGTTACTGATCAAAAAAGAGAAGTAAAAAAGCAGTTATCAATAGAAGAAAACATTAATATTCATATTCATTTTTTATCAAAAAGAAAAGAAAACCTATTAGCCAAGCCATAATGTATTTGGCATTAAACCTATAGAGTGCTATATATTTGCACCAGTCAGGGTTCTGAATATGTGTGTCAACAACTTTCTTTGGAGGAGCAGTAAAGGGCCCTTCTCTTTAGGAAGACAGAGGTCAAATCCACCCAAATTAAGACTTATTTCAGCATGGACTGAACCAACTAGTAAATCAAAATTAGAAGACTAAAGTTGCATCTAGCTGTACATCATAGCTCACAGAACAGGCTTAAGAATGATGAAAAACCACTTCCGGGTACATGCAAGGCAAAAGGGGGAAATATCATACCAGACAGTTACTTTAGCATTAACGGTCAAGCCAAGGATTAGAACCTTAATGTTCCCTAGCATGTGAAACCCATAAATCATCAAGCCTGTTCAATAGATGAAAAGGAAGCATTTTCACCAACCCCTCCCTCCCTAAAGACCATTATAGTTTTGTACTTTTGTTTCCAAGAATGCAAATCATAATCCAGTCTCTTTCATCAATAAATAAATAAATAGCTTAGTACATTCAACATGTTTCAGGTAAGAATTCGAACACTGACAGTCCAATCACAATGATTCCAAACTTGGAAATTTCTGTAGAACTTGATGGTTCAAAAAAGAGGCAACATAAGAAGTCAAAAGTAAGAAATTGAAGAATAACACAATTCACTTGAATGATAAAAGTGGCTCAAATTATTGAAACTGCAAACCAGTACAGGCTCTATGAAATTTAGCGAGAATGAAATTAACCCAATAGAAAACTAAGATTAACCAAAAATGAGGTGGCAATGTTGGTCTTACCATGGTCCCACATTGATCATGGGCAATTTTCCCTATGTGGCCCTTCATGCCTTTGATGATTTTTTTTCTTTCCTAAAACAAAAGACAAAATCAAAAAGCTTGCAGCACTCAAGATTCAATCTCAAAAATAGAATTATAGAAGTCCCCACCAGTGGTCAGATAAATAAAAGTCAAAACCCAAGTTAGTTGTAGCATACCTTTGCACTTCCATGCTTGACACAGAGAATGCCAATCTTTGATCCATCTCTTGTATGGATCATTCGAACAAGGAGTGGCCCTGATAACTGTTGTATAACATCTGTGACAGAGGACTTTAAGCAAACTTAAATTAGGACATAGTAGTATACCCACCATTGTTGAACTAAAATGCATCTTCAGAGAGATGTTAAAAGTTATGAAGTTCTGGAAGGTCAACTAGTACCTTGTCAGCAATGCTGAAATATTCTATTAATGCACTGTGTATTATAGAATGGTCCACAATCCCCTTCTCCAGAATCGGTTGAATTACAGAAGCCATGTGTCGTACAACCGAAGTTTTTTGTAGATCTAGTTTAGAAATCAGATCTACCAACCTGATAAAAGATGGATGGTTAAAAAATCAAAGTCAATATCAAAGAATATCAAGATGCAAGAACATCACAATCCCCTTCTCAACAATCAGTTGAACTGCAGAAGTCATTTATAGGAAACAAATCCACCATACAGATTAAAAGGGAAACAATTAAAATATAATATAAAATCAAGGAAAACCAATATGTATAATTTTCAGGAGACACAAACAACATATGCATTACAAACACAAACCATTACCAACAGTGCATGTGAAGATACTGTTAAATAAAAAGGTGAATCACTGATGCAATATGCCAATCTACCAAAATAGGTCTTCCTGGATATTTCTAACATATTTATCAACTCGACACTTTTGGCTATAGCATGAAGCTATGGTAAAACTAAATTATTTAGCTTCTGAATTTTGACCAACCATGTGAAAAAGTATAGACATTTCCCAATCCTGACATCAACTAAATCTTTTAATTCCTGACTATTTCCAGAGATACAAAGAAGCCAGACAAGCCAACTTCATGCCGATTTCCAAAGTCTAAACCTTCAATGCCACTCCATACACTGATAGGTCTAGCCATGGTAAGATTTCAGAAACTGCAGAGAAAGTGAGACAACTTAAAATCATCAAGGATAGGAAATTAAGGTTGCTTAAGAAAGAGGGATAATTAGGATTCCACAGCCCTTGGCCTAACCCAACCCATCCAAATGCAATATCAACATTCAACAACAGATAAAGCAGGTGAATTTGAAACCATGAGAAAATATTGTATTGGGCTGATAATAGACTACCATTAACCTACTTCTAAACTTACATAGTAAAGTATCTCAAACAATTGACCCTATACCTGCTTTCTTTCATTGAGACCAAATCCTTGAATAGTTGTAGCTCTGCTGAATATAACTCCAATAGAAGGGCTTGTTTTTGAGATGCATTTCCTAATTGGTATGCATGTTCAATAACTGCAAGAGAAAAAAAAATAACAGTGGCATATTAAAGGCTTAAACTATAAAAGTCAAGGACAAAATAGATATCATAAGTAATTCATCAGTAGTTACTTTTAAACTGAACAGATGGTGATCCAGACTTATTTTAATGATTAAAAAACTCCCTTAGATGATTAAAAAACTCCCTTAGACCAATGCAGAAAAAAAAATCTTAAAATTCTATAATTATCACTAACCCTGATACCCTACTTTCTCTAATTTCTAGTCAGATCGCCCTAAACAAAATTTAAATAGAATGTAGTATCACTCACAAATCACCTGACTTTAGGACCAAAACCCACTAGTATAACTCAACTGCATGGACTGACACTATAGCTTCTAAATATGGAAAAATGGGAAAAAAAAAAAAAACTATTACTCCTAAGCATGGAACAACTAGGAAGCATTTAACAAATAAACAATTGCTCTCCTCTGGTAAGAAGAAGATGGAGAATAGGTTTGTAGAAGCTGCTAGATGGAGGAAAGTGATGAAGATTGAAGCAAAAGATTTCTTATTTGAAGAGATAAGGATCGGAGGCCAGCAGAGCTTGAAGATTAGGGAGGCAAAGAGAGCCACAATATTGTTGGAAGGTCTTGAAGTGATTGAATGGTTGCAGAGTTTTGTTTCAGAAGCAAGCTCCAAAGGTAAACAACTGAACTTTACGAAGTTCAACCTGGATGGAAGAAAGAGCTAAGAGCTGGAATGCAAAAATAATGCAAAAGGATGCTACATAACACTGCAGGAATTCTTTGGAGGAAGAAAGAAGCAGTTGGCTTGTTTACCAGAAGGTAAACGGGGTGTTGGATGGAAGGTAGTGGCAGAGGTACTGAGTGACTTTACTCAGCAGCTGAAAACAAAACAAGTAGAGGCTGCAGTAAAGGAAAAGAAAGGGGTAAATCACAAGAGAAAGAAAGAACCCACTGATACGAAATGGATGATTGCAGAAAAAGGAAAAAAAAAATTGTAAACTGGTAGAAACAGAAGAAAAAGAGGATTGGGGGAAGAAATTTGTGGTTGAAACTTCAAGTCCACCAAGGGATTGGAGAGGTATTGCTCAGGCGATACTCAAAAAATTAAACCTGCAGAAGCTGATGGTGATTCCTCCTTATGAATCTTGTAAAGCTTTGATAGATCTGGGTGAAGATGAAGTAGAGATTTCAGCTTTAAACATTCTTTCTGAGGCTGGTGCTGCTACAGTCTCGAATTGGTGTCCTCTATCTAATACCAAATGCTTTGAGATTGAAGACAATGTAATAGTCAGATTGCTTGGTTTACCTTTCAATCTCTGGAAAGAGGAAGTTTTACAGTCAATAGCTTTAATCTGTGATGCAAAATTAGAAGGTGTTTTTTATTGTGATCTCCATTCAGTTGCAGTGAGGTTAGGTGGTGTTAAACCCAGTGACATCCCAAGGAAGATAGAGGTTTTTTCAGAGGGTTTAGTATACCCCGTTTGGCTTGCTACCTCCATTGAAGCCCAGCTTTGGAAGGAAGGAATAAGGGAGGAAGATGAAGGGGCAGAACAGGCCTGATTGCTTGGTATGCAAGGCAGAGTAGGCACTACAAAAGAGGCTAAGTCTTCTGAGGTAACTAGGAAAAAAGAGAGAAAAGAAAAAAATTTAACTACTTGGGGAAAGTCTGCTTGGCAGGGTGGGCTGAGGGATGGCAGGTCCTATGTTTGACAGGAGGTTTAATTGGAGGTACACTTGCGACAGGAGTTTAAATTTCAAAAGAAACTGAACAAAGGCAGGCAAAGGTTCAGGTGTTAAGCCGGTCTTGTGAGCTGGTTCTTTCTGGTCCTTTGAACCAAGGCCAGTCACATGTTTCTTTAAGTGAACACGTGACTGGTAAAGAGGTCGGGGGGCTGGGCCCAGGCCCATCAAAAATTAAGGGGCCTATTTCTGCAAATGGGTCGGCCGGATTAAAGAGCGTGGACCCAAATTTTAAAATGCCACATGCCAGTTTAAGTAGGCACATGACCAAAGGATTGGAGAGGATGATGGACCAAAAAAAATGGTCTATCATCATCTCCCACGAGCAAATCTCTTCTACCGCTCGCAGGGGAGAAAGTTAGCAGCAGTGGAGCGGCAAGTTTGAACTAGACATGGGTTCCAAGCAAGAAGAAGAAAGTCTTCTCCCCGGAACGGCGCAATCCGAGGTTCAAGAAGCACTTGTTGACAGCGGAGACAGGGAGTTCCCTCATTCCGGGGACAGTAAATCAGGTATTTACAGACACGGTCGAGATCTGTGAGACGGAGGAAGAAGGTAGCTCAGATTCAGAGTCTGAAGACTCTTCAAGTATTGGAAGCATGGATCTGAAAAAAGCCAAATCCCTCAGTGCTGATGAGAGCCTTCACACCGAGGTGCTTTTTTTTGGAAAACGACAACTTGGATGTTTCAGTTTCAGCCCAGAAGATGCACTCTCAATGTCTCTTATTACCTACGGATTTGAGGTTTACCGCAGATTTTATAGAGGAGAGGCAAGGGACACCAGTTCTTAAATTAGCTCCCAGTTCACTAGAGCAGCACGGCACTGATAGAGGAATAGAGGAACAGTAATTACCTTGGTCACTGATCACAGAGTTATCAACAAGGGGACAACTTACAAAGGCAAATTCTTTTTTTTTTTATTGGAAACGGTAACTTCATTAAATAACTTTAATTACAAAGGCAAATTCTGATGCAAGGATTAAAACAGCATTGGTTGATCACAATGGGAACCCACAGTCATTTCCTTTGGAAGGATTAGCTGCGACCTTGCCCCTACGTGTTGCCCCTCAAGAGTTTTTGACATCTTCCCACAACCATTCAGGTAATTTTGTCAATTCGTTTGGTGGTACTGATGTGGGTTTCCTGCCTGAAACAGGTACTTCTGCAGCTCAACTTGATGCTGCAGCTCAACTTGATGCAGCAGCCATGGTTGGAAGGGACAAGGGGGGCAAAGAACAAGAGGAAGTGGTAAGGGGAAGAGAATTACAGGAAAAGGAGTTAGAGATGATATGGGATCAGATCTGTATGTTTTTGGAGGAGTATAAGAGAAAAGAGGAAGAGGTAAGGAAGGGTGAGGTTCAAGAAGGTTCAGCAAAAACAGGGGATCAAAGTAGGAAAAATGCAAAGGATGAATCAATTATGGGAAAGATGCAGAACAAGGAATTAGAGAGGATTTGAGGACAGATCTGTGCCCTCCTTGAGGAGTATAGGCAAAAAGAGGAATCTTTGGGGGAAAACCAAGAAATTTTGAAAAGGCAAAATAAAACAAAAGCAATCTTAAGCAGATCTGGAACATTTAATAACCTAAGGAAGAAAAAAAGATCAGAGGTGGAAAGGCTGATATCAGATATAGAAGAAAATTTGGAATTCAGCGGAAGAGGGGAGAGAAGGAAAGCCTCTAAGTAGAGGTCTGACCTTAGAGGGGGATGCCAAATCTTTTACTTCCATGAAAATCATTAGTTGGAATGTGAGGGGGTTGGGGAGTGCTAGGAAAAGAAGGCTGATTAAGGACCTCCTTACAAGGGAAAGGCCAGATATAGTGATGTTTCAGGAGACCAAATTAGCTGATATCGATAGAAGATGGGCAAGAAGCATTTGGAAATCTAGAGGAATAAGTTGGGTTTCAACACCTTCTTGGGGGGCTTCGGGGGGAATTGCTACCTTTTGGAGAGAGGATACGGTGGAGGTTCTGGAGGAGCTAGTAGGTAATTTTTCAATGTCGTTAAAATTCAAGATGGTAGAGGATGTATTTATTTGGGCTCTAACTAATGTGTATGGACCAAGCAATTACAGAGAAATGAATGGATTGTGGGAAGAGCTTTATGGGATTCAAAAGGGCTTTGGGATGGTCCGTGGTGCTTGGGGGGAGATTTCAATGTAATTCGATTTACAAATGAATCAAATAACCTCCAACAAGTCATTACAACCAGCATACGGAGATTCAATGATTTTATTAATAATTGTGAGTTAAAAGAACTCCCATTGCTACAAGCTATCTATACCTGGTCCAATTTTTAGGAGATACCAACCTGCTCCAAATTAGATAGGTTCCTTTTCAATGAAAGCTGGGAAAATAAGTGGACGGACTTGTTAACAAGGGCTCTACCTATAGTCACATCTGTCCATTGCCCCATTAGCCTAGGACAGGAGCCTTTTAGGCAAGGACCTCGACCCTTTAGGTTTGAGAACATGTGGTTGACTCACCCGGACTTCGTGAAGAAGGTTGAGGAATGGTGGAGAGAAGACCTAAGGGGGGTGAAGTGGAAAGGGGTAAGATTTCATAAAAAATTAAAAAGATTGAGAGCACATGTGAAGGATTGGAATAGGGAGCATTTTGGGAGAACAGAAGAAATGAAATCCTCTCTGTTGAACCAAATAGAGGAACTAGATGTGAAGGAATCCCAAAGAGCCTTAAGCCCTCAGGATAGAGATCGAAGATGGAATCTGAAAAGAGAGTTGGATTAAGGAAGGAGATGGGAACACTAAATTTTTTCATGACCTAGCCAATGGAAGGAGAAGGAAAAACCTAGTATCCAAACTGGAAGTGGATGGAACAATCTTTGATACCCAAGAGAGGATAGCCACTTGTTTTGTTGACCATTTCAAATCCATTTTGTGGAGACCCCTAAGCCCTAGAGTGGAGTTGGAAGGTGTGACCTGGCAGAGGCTTCCAGAAGAGAGTAGAAGCTGGCTGGAAAGGAATTTTGAGGAGAAAGAAATTAGAAAAGCTATTTTTTCCATGGACAGATCTTAAGCACCAGGGCCAGATGGGTTTACAATGGCTTTCTTTCAAGATTGTTGGAACATAGTCAAAGAAGATTTAATTGAGGTCTTCAAGGAATTTGAGAATAATCAAGTGATGAGTCGGGGATTTAATGCTACTTTTTTAGCCTTAATTCCCAAAAAGAAAGAGACCAAGCATCCAAAGGACTTTAGACCTATCAGTTTGGTGACTAGTGTTTACAAGACTGTGGCAAAAGTCTTGTCTTTGAGGATAAAACAGGTGCTTCCATGTCTTATTAACCAAGTGCAAGGAGCTTTTGTTCAAGGGAGACAAATTATAGATCAGATTCTAATAGAAAATGAATGTGTGGAGGAGATGAGGAGATCGAGGCGTCAATGTTATGTTTGTAAACTTGACCTTGAAAAGGCCTATGACTTAGTGGATTGGGGATTCTTATCACTCGTGCTAAGGAAGTGTGGGTTTGAGGATAAGTGGTGCAAATGGATAAACAGTTGCCTCTCCAATTGCCATTATTCCATCCAAGTCAATGGGGTAGTTACTGATTTTTTCCCAGCTAGCAGGGGTCTGAGACAAGATGATCCCATGTCACCTTTCCTTTTCACTTTAGTCGTCGATGCTTTTAATACTCCTCTCAGAAGCGGATAGAGTCAAATCTCTAAGAGGGTGGAGAATGGGTAAAGATAGAGTGTCAGTAACACATCTCCAATTTGTAGATGACATAATAATCTTTTGCGAAGGTTGTGATTTGACAGAGGTAAGGAATGTGAAGGATTTATGATAAGATCAATACTGTGAAAAACTTGCAAAAGAAAAAACCTTTTTTGTGTTTGTCCCCAAATTGGTGCTTTATGTGTAAAGTGAAGGGTGAGGATTGTAACCATTTGCTGATACCGTGCTCCTTTGCTACCAATATTTGGAACTGGGTTGTTTCTTTATTTGGGTGCAGGTGGAACTTGCCCTCTGAAGTAAAACTGCTGTTCACTCCGGCTGCTCTTAGGAGATTGACAAAAACAGGGAAGATAATGTGGAAATGTATCAGAGCCGCCACCTTGTAGATTTTATGGGAGGAGAGAAATGCTAGAATATTTCAAGAAAAGGAAAGAAGTCTTGCTGAAGTCAAGGAATGTATATTGACAAAGACAATTCCATGGCTGAAATCTTCACAATTGTTGGCAGATTTCTCCTTTGATGACTTAAGGAGAAATTGGGAAGCAGTGGCTTCTACAGTCTCCACCAAGAACAAATTACAAGTTGAATGGAAACCCCCACTGGATGGAGTGGTAAAATTGAATTTTAATGGCAGCTGCCAAGGTAACTCAGGGCCATCCCGAATTGGTGGGATTCTGAGAGAAAAAGACAGCAATATGTTGTCTCTTTTCTCAGGACCAGTGGGTGAAGGTGATTCTGTAAGGGCAGAGCTACTAGCAGCAATACAAGGTATACAGATGGCTAGTCAATTAGGAGTGAACAATTTGTTAGTAGAAGGAGACTCCAAGGTAGTAGTGGGCTGGCTGAATAGCCCAGACACAGTTTGTTGGGGCTACAAGGATTTGTTAAAGAAAGTTAAATGGATGACAAGAAATATGACTGTTAGGTTCCAGTGGGTAAGCAGATCAGCAAATGCAATGGCTGATTCTCTGGCCAAGCAAGGGGTGTCAAGGGGTGATCTGTTTTGGGCTACTTTGTAATTTGTATCTCAGGTTTGGGCATGTTTAGTGTTTATGATTCAGTCCTTGGGGGAGGTAACATCTCGTGCCTCTTCCTAGGCTGCTTGTAGTTCTGAAATTTATTTCAATAAAACTACTATCATTTATCAAAAAAAAAATACTTTTCATAAAGAAATATTGAGGAAGTCTTCACAATATCGCACAGTCATCAGTTATCAAGTGTGACTTCTCTTCTCTAGTTGACAGAGAAATGGAACTTAAGTCTGAGAGTATCTTTTTTCACAACCCTCGGGCAGCACCACTGGGATTTTCACTAATCCAGAATTGGAGTATCCTATGTAATTTCAGCAGTCATACAGGTTATGCAGACTCTTCTAGATGTTGTGAACTGTTCCTCCTGATAGGGGTGAAAGTTGTGACAAGGAGCCCATATTGCCAAGAGATTGCACCATTCCTCACTTTTGAGTTAAGAGGACTCAGACAATGTCATAGGATGGAGTAGAAATTGTGGCCAAGGACAGCATAAGTTAGCATATTTCATTAATGATATTAGAGATACTTAATCATCTGCTCCATTTCAAAAAAGATGGATTGCAAGGGGTTGAAACTCAATTGCTGATAATCTTGCAGGTGCAGAAAGGGTTTTTCTATAGTGATAGGTCTATGTGTATAAAATTTTTGTTATCAATAGATGGGGCTAAAGCATTCTTTATACTTCTGTACATCCTCTGATGAACACATCTCGCTCATAAATCAATGAAATTATACTGTAATATTTTCTCGAAGAAAGAATACATAACAAATGCATGAACAAGCATACATATTAAAATTTACATCTTTATAAAGATATGTGAACCATTAATAACAACTATTTTGTAGTACCCCGTATAGTTGGGATAAGGCTTCATTGAGTTGAGTTGAGTATATGCCAAAGAGATTCTAGAGACTAATGAATGCACTTGAATTAACCAAATTAGTTATACAAACCAACAGATCCAACCATGTGTCGAAGAAGAGAGGCAACATGCCCATGAAGAGAGGAGATGAATCCTTCCAACTGCTTTTTAGAAGCTGCAAACAAAACCAAGAGAAAGGAGTTCAGATTATCTAAAAAGAACATAAAGGACCTAGTCCTTATGTAATGATGTTATTGATTTTTTCTGCAATAATTCAGGGTTGAACAATACCATTATCTAACATTTTCTTCACTAGATGCACTGCATAAGTGTTACATGCAAGGGTCAGAAGTTGTGGTCGGAGTTCCTCAAAGACAGCATCTCTTTCGTCTTGCGAGCAATGCTTAACACAAGTCTAGGGTGGAAAAAATAAAATTATTGCAACTTAATGTAAATAGAACAATGTCAAGTTTTAAACCTCAAAAAAAGGCTTGTCAGCAGTATATTACCTGCAACACTCGGGAAGAAACATGAGAGCCTGCAACCTCTGGAATTTTCCCTTTCATCTTCTGTAAAGCTTCACTCACCAACCTTGACAAGGAAAAAAATTAAAAAAAGGAAAAAGTAAATAAATAAGAAGAACAAAAAATCAATAATGTTGGTTGATAATGGTAGAAAATCCACATATTAAATTAAATGCTTACTTGGATCTCTCTTCTTTGGCAATATTATGGCGCCTCATCTTTTCCCATAATGATGCAAGTTCCTGAATTGATCAAAAAAAAAAAAATGATGCAAGTTCCTGAAATTAATAAATTTAAAATAAGAAGAAGAAGAGAGTTGACCAGTTCTAGGAGTTTTACGACATGATTCTCTGTACAGACGACCATCCAATTTATTCCAGCCTTCATACTCTACATGCTAATGCTTACCTGTTCAAGTGTGTAATGCCGCTTCCTCCTTTTTTTCCTCGCTTCTGTTAGTTCCTGCAAAAAAAAAAATTGAAACCCCGAATTTATTTATGTGTTGTCTGGTTAAATTTTAAAATTCCCCAAAGAAATACATTGGTAGAGACGGCAAACTTTCAAACAGGTAGACCCAAGAAAATACCATAGTAAACAAAGGTGACATTAAAGAATTTGTCATTTCATTCATGTGTTGCTTGTCCAGTGATAACCAAAAATAATTAAATATAGCGTACAATAAACCCATTCAATCTTGGGCAGTTTAGGCGTCAAAAAAATTTCTTGGGTAGTTTAAGAAGTATTTGAATCTAATAGACTCGTAGTTCCTCTCCATGAATGCGACGCGACACGTGCAAAATACAGCCCATCTTCAGTAAAATCTACTTAAGTATCACTAGCGGGTATAGATAAATGTGTTTTTTCTCTTGTTAAAGTACATTCTTAGTTTCACCGGATCCATATTCTTTATAAACCAAAAGAAGAAAAATAATACGAAAATCAATAAAGAAGACCGACCTTCGCATGTAGACGACGTTCTCGTTTCGATTTTGGTACTTTTTTCTCCACGGCAAATTGCCTCTTCTCAGGTTGAGTTTTGACAGCTTGTTGTTTTGAGGATTTAAAAGGTTTCTTCAACCCCTTGTTTGGAGGTGCTGCAGGTTTCGATTGGACGGATTTCGGTTTCTTCGAAGTGCGCTTTTCTCCTTCTCTCTGAGTGCCTGCAATTCGCTTTCTTTTCATAGATTCGTCTTGGTTGCGTTGGTCCTTCGCCGCCATGAGAGAACGCAACTGCAGTTTTCTGCTTTGTTTATCTGTTTCTGAACTAATTCCTTTCTCCCCCCGTCGGGGTTTTGCGAGGGTTTTTTGTAGAGCGGGTATGTGTGTTCCGGATGTGATGTGAACTATGTGGACATTGGTGCGATCTGAACCTTGATAACAGTCATCTGTCTCTTCACACAATCACACGTTTTGGCTCCTTCTCACGTTTAGGAACTAACGGAGACGGGTACAGTCCGTCAGTCCGTCACTTCAAAATGTATTTTGCGCTTGAGTTGTTCATAAGAAGACCCAATCCGACCAATCCGGACCGATTCAACTCGAATCGGCTGGGTTTTCTTCAGCACCGGTCCGTTTCAGGTCGTAAAAAATCATAAACCGATGGCAAGTATTGAAAACCAAAACTAACGTGAATCGAACCGACTTAGTAGTTAGTTCCTAGTTAGTATTTACAACCTACTTAGTTCCTACTTAACTAAGTTATCTCTATCCTAGTTACAACCTAACTTAATTTCTAGTCTTCTATTTAAGAATGACATTAATGGCAATTATTGTAAGACAACTAAACAAGGAATTTTTTTGGAAAACTTTAAAGAAAATAATCAAATGATCCTAGTTTTTATGGTCTTTTACACCAAATAGGCAACCAATTACAATTAGAATTAGGTGTCATTTTTTACKTAKATTAKAAGGTTTCTTGAAATATACAAATTTCAGTCTTCTTTCTCTAATACAGTTTGACTTTCTATTTTCTTRATAAYTTCTATTCTAACTTGGTCCGCCCCTACCAATTTCAGTCTTCTTTCTCTAATAGAATTAGTTGTCCTTTTTTACATCAATTTCCAGTCTTCTTTCTCCAATCCACCAATTTATTACCATGGTTGAACTTAGAGCCGAAACCGACCCAACCCAACTCAAACCGACCAGGTCGGTTTTGCTTAACACAATGTCGGTTTTGGTTTCAATTTCAGGTAACCCGACCAGGTCGAGTCAGTTGAAAAAATCTCAATAAACCGACCCAACCCGACTCGTGAACGACCCTATTTTGCACCAATATTTTTAAAATCAAATCGGGCAGGAACCATTTTGGATCAGTTCCGGAGTCGAACGGACGGTCCATTCTGACTTAAAAAATAAAAGGGAATTTTTTTGTTTAGTACCCTGCACTTTGGGCCTTTGGACCCCAAATCAGCTATTAAGTGACATTTGAAAAAAACACAAATGCCCTTCGAGTGTCATCTAATTTTCTATATCAACTATTCAAACATTGACATAAAATTAACAATCCCAAATCCTTGCCTCTTCTATTCAAGAAAGTTGGAGTTACCAGAATGCCCACTCAAACACGACCCCAACTTTCTTGAATGGAAAAGGCAATGATTTGGGACTATTAATTTTTGTCAACATTTAGATAGTTGATAAAGAAAATTAAATGACATTGAAAGGGCATTTGTATCTTTTTCAAGTGCCACTTAATGGCTGGTTAACAGCTAGTTAACGACAAGTATTGGATTGTCACATTTTAAAAGTTTGGGTATTGAATTGTCGCATTTTAAAGTTCAAGGACCAAAGTAGCATTAAGCCCAAAGTATAGGGTATTAATCGAGAATTTTCCCAAAATAAGATAACAAAAACATCTAAAAAAATGTTGTCTGGGTCAACGGTTCAACTGCCTGGGTCAGCAGCCAGCAAGTCACTGACCAAATCAATGATTTTTCGGCCAAAAAGCAATTTTATGGTGAAATGGAATCGATTGTTTGACTAGTTCTCGGGTTTTAGTCTGATCTGATTTTAATAGCCCGTTTGGTTATCGAGAAGAGATGGGATGAGAAAGGAAATTTTTATTTTCTCAATTAGAGTGTCTGTGTTTGTTTGCCGAGACCTATTATCCCATAGAATTTGCTTTTCGGTGTTTGGTTGATGTGAAAATTTTGCAGGATGTTTGATTTAAGCAAAAATGATATCCAATTCCACAACACAGCCCTATCCTATTTATAGGATGACATGGCCTAATATTGTTTGTCTTGCCATGTGACAAGTTGACATAGATATATTAAAAACATGTGTATTTTTACTACATCATACCCGTACTATCAAAAGTAACTCCCAAGATCATTTCAAAGCAAGCAAATACCTATGGCATCATTTAAGCAAATATAAAACTGTTATAACCACCAAGCTGACTATCAAAACAAAACGACTATTGATTATGAATGGGGTTCTTTCAACTTCTCCACCTCCATGCCAGCATCCTCTACGTAGGTCCTAGAGGTGTTACCAATTGTAGGTTGTTTGGGTGGTGGATGCATATTACATTGGTATCGCTGCAATTGATATACGGCCTTTTCATATGTGATATATGAACAAAAAATTGCTCCGCTAAATTTGTGTACTTGGGCATTGCACTCTACCCATCTGAAATAAATTCCTAATTGGCGCCCTTTGAACACAACATAATATTTTGCCATTTTAGACCTATAACCACGTAAGCACATATTCCATCAAGCCCTATATTATTAACCTATAATTGAACTTGGAAATAAATCAACCACCAAATCCATTATGAAATCAAACATATTTAAGTTTCATCTGTACTGATTTCAAGAGATCCATCCATACTAATTTCAACGAAGAAAACCTATTTGAGTAATCATTCAATTAAATAGTCGAGCAACCTATTTAAGTTCATAAACTCAAGTAATAAACTTGTTTAATGTCATCAATTCAACGAAATCAATTATCTACATGGGAACCTCCGAATCCCATATATTGAGTTAAAACCCGTCAATCAAAGAGTTAGAATATACATTCATCTTAAGTTGGAAAACCCTGTATAAATTCATCAACCCAATTATGCCAAATCAACATTCCCATGGGAACTTGCGAATCCCATATATTGAGTGAAGACCTATATTTAACAAATAGATTAACACATGTTCAAACTAAATATTCAACCATCATTCATGAACCATCAGTATTTTCATTTAATCATCCACTTGGGTAGTGTAAGACAAAAAAGGATTGTTTCTATTGACTGGTCAAGACAAAGCCAATCAACACATGTTTGAGTCATATGTCAATCTAAGTAATGTTCAAGTTTTCCAAAACATAAATATGTAGCCAAGAAACAACCCATAAAGCATAACAAAAAAGTGGGGTGTTAGTGAACCATATTCATTAGTGTCTCCAAAAAAGGGGTGTTACCAAAGTAACTTCAATTAAGTGGGCCCAACTTCAAATCTAACCATGCCTTCCTCAATTTCAGAGCCAAGGCATAAAATGCTATTGCCCGATTTTCAGACTCAGTCAGATAATCGATGTCCCTTATGAGGAGGAGGGCTTGTGATCCCCTAAGCTCAGCACGTCATCATAAATCTTTTCCTTCTTCAGCAACCCGATTCCCTTCTCAACTGCAGAAGCCAATGACTTAATGCTAGATGCAATCTCATGTACTTCTTCAGCAACTGTAGCTGCATACGACTTTATCTTCCCAAGACCCCTCCACTCAACTGAGCTACCCTCCTCAGGTGGCCTAGGCTGAAGAGTTGAGTCACCAACATTGTCTCCTTCAACCTCGTCAAATACATGCTCCTGCATTGTCGGCATGCTAGTGGTTTCATTCACTGATGCTGCCTCATGCCTATTTAGTTCCCTAGCAGTGAATACACCAACGCCAGTTACTTGATCATTTCCACATACTATAGCCAGTTGGTCATAGTTGTGGATGGGTTTTCTCCTAAATTGCTTTGCTTCTAGGTGTCCATGTCCAGTTGTAATGGATCAATTGCTACAAGTTCACATCTTACTTGTGTATTGTAATATTTAGGATGAATATCATATTGAAGTTTACCTGGATGTATTCATTCCACACACGGGGCTCTGCACCGATGGTTTTAGTCATGTCATTCCAGGAAAAACCACTAGAATTGATGATGTTCGTTATCGTGGAGAAATTCTTCTTTATTGTCTTCATTCGATTCCTAATGTGGTTCTGTGTGCACTCCACTTCATATTTCAGACTTATGGCTCTTGCAGTTACAGTATATGTCGAAGCCTTAAAGCTCATGTCAACCTTGTGTCCAAGGGTGACTTGCTCCACTAGAGTTTCAATCCATGTGTTATCCATCTCACTTGTCCAGCTCATGTTCACCTTATTAGATTTACTATTGGTTTCATTGGACTGAGTATCCATATCTAACTCTAACCAAGCAATAATAAGTCAAGTTACACAGTGAACATAATAAAATTCATACATCTAGCATGCCACACCAACTAGTTCATATCAGTATTTCAACCAGTATCAACCAAATTTACACCAAGTCCCATCATTCCAATCATCCATAATAAACACACACACACACACACACACATGGTACAACTAAAAACAATAATGTCCAACACAAGATAGTTGTGTTCTTAACATAAACTAGTCAAAAGAAAGATAATAAAAAATGCTAATAGTTAAATAAGGAGTACATGTACATTGTGAAGTTAAACATGGAAATACATGTGAAGATTAATCAAAGAAATTTAACGTTGATGCCTGGACCGAGCCAACTGATAGTCTGCCCACATTTGATTTTCTATCTCCTCTCTAAGACGGTGTCCTTCTTTGACGGATTCATTTCTACTAATGTGTTGAGATGGTTGAGATACTTGAGTCTCATTAACCACATCATCTACCACTTCCCCATCATCTGCATCAATCTTTGCACCTTCAACAACATCGTGATCGTATTCAGACATGATTCGGTCATACGAATCCACACCCATGACATGATTATGTAATATGCAACATGCAGAGACAATCTTGACTTGTGTTTTGAATGGGTAATGCTGCTAAGAAACCAATAGTGGAAACCGCTTCTCGAGAACCCAAAAAATTCGTTCAACTACATTTCACAGTGAAGCATGACGGAGGTTGAATAACTCTTTAGGGTTCTCATGTTGATGTGCACCTCATTCCTTCTATCTTGTGCTCTAATACGATGTTAAGAAGCCAGACTTTAGAGCAAACCTAGCATCTACCAAGTAATATTTACATATTTTAACATACGAGAAAATGGTTAGATACCAAATTCCATATTTACACTTGATAAAACCTATATGGATATGTATTAGCACCTTGTGGGAC